TTAATAACTAAAAATATTTTATAATTTAAATTTTATCAAATTATAAAATATAAATACATATATTAAACAAAAAAACAAAACGAGTTACCTGATATTAAAATTCTCCTTCTGAAAAATTTATGTTTTATAATCCAAAGAACAAACAACCCGAATATGAATAAACCAATAAATTAGCCATATGCATGCGTTTGTGGTTGGGCTCAAGACCAGCCCGTTAACTGTTGTCCAGTAGCCAATTACCTCCCTCACACTAATCGAAAACCAGACAAAGGAAATGGTTCAGAAAGGGGAAGCTCTAGGCCCAATGGCTCTCTAAATTTCTTCATCTGAGTTTTTTCTATGTAACAGATTTGTAACAATTTTTTCTGCTAATATGCTCCATTTTTTTGGTAAGTTACTTTTTTTTAATAGTAATAATTACCACATCTGCTTCAAAGTGGTCTTATTTAACCTTTTGATTATTTTTTTTTATATGAACTTCTTAATTAAATTTTAAGTAATATGTAATAGTAATTACAAAAAAAAAAAAATCAAGTGAAACTATTTAATAAGAGCTTAATATAACTTAAATTTTTTTTCAAATTGATATTCATATCCTATATAAAAAATCAAAGTTTGAAGGGACTCCACATGAATTTGTAGCTTTGGACTAAACTACATAATTGTTGTTTTTCTCCTTAAATCCTTACTTGTCCTTCCAAAATTCAAGTAAGGTCATATTCTAATATGAATCTTCGAATTACGTACGTACATAATCAGTACACTAATTTTCAATCCTATTGTTCTCTAACTATTCTCCCTCAACAAATCAGATGAGTAACATTACATGCATATTATTTTGTAAAACGTTACCTTATACAGTGTCTCATTGTCAAAGGTACCATGTGACCTTTTCCTATATATATGGATACCGTAAAACCAAGCATACCTGAGCAAAGCAAGGGTTTTCGTGGTTTCGCATAACGAGATCTGAATTGATCCTCTAGAGATTTAAATTAAAAATTAGAGTTGACCCTATCACATAACCATGTGCCCCTCACTGAATTTTCTCCAAACAAAAACACCTATAACACCTTGCATTCATGATATCCCCACATCCCCTTTTCCCTTGATCCCTGCAATCATCATCACAAAGCATGTCAAGAATTAAGAATTCTACATATTTGGATCTCGGAACCCATTAAGATCCAATATTCTAATCTTTCCCTTTGTGTATATATATGCTCTTGAGCTTAGATATAATAATTAATGTTGCGATGTGCTGATGCATCTAGGAGATCTTTAACAAACTTTTGGTGTAATTTGCAGCAGAAAAATCTGAACTTAAGGACAAGATGAAGGATTAAGAGGCATGAAAGGGACAGAAGGGGGGTAAGTTGGTTGTGTTGAATGATAGGGGAAATGGTGGCAGTAGGTCACATGGATATCCAACAGTAAGGGGTGCAGATGTTAGATACTTTCCTTTGTCAGAAAACCAAAGGCAATGCCCATTTCCCTCCTAACCCTCTATTTGTTTGCTTTTTGCATTTCCTATCTCCTTGGCTGCTTTCCTCTTGGAATGTGTGCTCAGAATCTTCCTTGGCTACCTATGTCTCGTTGTTTTCATTAAAACTCCCCAACCAGATTTTGCATTCTCTAAAACTTTTTGATTTTGCATCCTCATTCCTCTCCTCTCATCTTTGCTTCACATGAAAATGAAGTCAGCCAATTTCTGCTTTCTCTCAAATTAAAGCACTTTCCATGTCAGTTTTATAATGTGATTGTTCCAAAATCCAAATCCATACATGATTCCGAAGCACCAAATGCATAATTAAAAAATGGAAGGAAAGGGCTGTTCTTTTCTTTTTCTTGTTTATTTAATTTCATGGCCCATGCCTACGTGCCAGAGCTGGAAACCCACTTAGTGGCACATGTACCATAAGGTCATAAAAGAAAAAAAAAAATTGCTTCTAATATATATGATATCATCCAACGTAGCAAAATGAAACAGAGAGAAGGTATGGGAAGGATACTGTATTATTCAGAGCCAACCGATTGGTATCCCCTATACTGATTTTTCTGGCCAAAATGAGATGTTGAATTGAAGCAAATATGTTCAGTTCTATGCAACAAAATCTACAGCCAAAACAAGAATTGAAACTGGTAGGGGAAAAAATACTTTTCTTCTTAATAAATGTTACCACGACATGGCCGATCAAATGCATAAAGGGCATGTGATGATTGTTTTACGAGATTATTAATCAAACCATCTTCATCTTCATTCAGTGGTAACTTTGCTGCCCAGGCCATGGCCAAAACCCTTGCTGCTCATGATCAATACCATTGAACATGTTGCAGAAGCTCTCTTCTTGAACAACTTGATTAGGGCATGGGGTATCCGGTCTAGATGAGCCTTGAAGGAGTTGAGTTATGCTAGTAGGCCTGATGGATGGGGCGAAGAGTTGTCTGCTGCTTAATTGCGAAGATAAGGGATTGCTGGTTATAGCAGATGTTCTTGAGATATCTAAGTTCACATCGCAACTGTTGTCACTTCCATTGCTCCAAGAACCCTCATTTTCTTTCTTGAGGCTAACTTCATTTGAATGTTTGGTTTTCAGAGACAATAACTACAGCATTTCAAAACCAAACAGTCAAATTAATAAATTAAGCATATAAGAAGCAACTAGAATTGACACCCACCTTCATGTTCTTCCAGTGGGAAAAGAAAGAAAAATTGTATACAAAATCCATAAAATATTTGCAACCATGTCTACAGAGAGAATACCAAGATTAAAATAACTTATTATTCCTAAGGTGTGCTTCTGACACTGACACCATTTTCACGTTTGTGAACAACGAAGCAAGTTTAGCAGAATATAAAATTAATGTAAAACGATGACTTTTAATAGTCATTGTCAATGCTGGATCAAGAACTCAAACAAACACATGAGTTGTTTCCATGGCTCGACATCATGCAGAAGATCTTTATGTAGGTAAAAATGCTCAAAATCAGTGCCTCTTTACTCGATTGAGAAGGGTTTCATAATCTCGGAAATCTCAAGATCAAGAGGAACTAAGTAGAATGAGTTTCTAGTTGAAAAAGGAATCATATCCTGATCATATGCTAGTTTAAAATCTCTTCTGTATTCAAACTTATTCACACAGGCATTTTAACAAACAGAAAGCAATCTTATTAAAGAAGAATGATGGGAGAGTTGTTAATTACCTCAGCACTGAGTTTCTTGTTCTGAGCTTGGAGGGCATCATTATCAGCCTTGAGAGCATCAAACTGTTTCTTCAAGGCCTCATAGTCTTTCTCCAACTGCTTGGTTTTCCACCTAGCCCTCCTGTTCTGAAACCAGATAGCTATCTGCCTTGGCTGCAATCCCAGAGCCTTAGCCAGTTGCATTTTCCTCTCTGGCTCAAGCTTGTTCCCCAACTCAAAACTCTTCTCCAGTACCTTCACTTGCTCCAAATTCAACCTCTTCTTCTTCTCTCCGAGTTGGGATCCATCATCAGACAACTCATCATCACCATGAACTTCCTCAGACTTGTCCACACCTGAAAACGACATGGATCTCTTCACCATGAATGGTGCACCACCACCAACCCCTGAACCACCGCAAACATTCAAAAATAACCATTAACTTAAACCACAAAAGAAAAAACCACAAACAGAGATATAAACAGAGAAAGGAAGCAGAAACCATGGGGAAAGAGCTGAGGAGGACATGAGGGAAGGGGATTGAGGGAGGTAGAAGAAGGGTTGTTATCATCATGGGATTGGAAGATGAAAGCATGAGGAGGGAAAGCCATGTCAATATTGCAAAAGATCATTCATAAACTTGAAATGAAAATGGATGAAATTTAAGAGGGTGTTGATTATGATGATGGAGTGAGCGTCATATGAAGGTGATGGTTGACAGGTTATAGGGAAGAGGACATGGGTGATGGGTGCATAGAGACTGAAAGACAGCGATTTTTAGGTTGAGAAGGGAGACATGCACAGAGTGAACGAGAGGTGCAAATTGTGTAATATATCACAGATTCGAGCTTTGCTGGACCCATCCTCTGATATGGAGTCCTCTCTTTCCTCTCTCCAAAAACACTTACACATGCTTGCATTCAAATTGGAACCATTGACATGTTAACCTATACTTTGCAAGATTTCCTTCCATTCCAACAAAAAATTGTAATTGATCAAGCAAAGTTAATATAATAGAATGTCTTACCTAATTAAGAAATTAAGTTTTTATGTTAATAAATCATGTGTGAAAAATATATATATTTTAATTATAAAATATACAATATAAGATAGTTTATATTAACTTATCCAAAATCTTTAAAATTGATATAAGGAAATTAATTTCTCATGAAAGAAGGTAAAAAATAAAGTTAAAAGAATATGTGCATTACACTTCTTATTAATCATGAACTAATCATGAGATTAGGATAAAATTGAACATAGAAGTTACAAGATTTTGCCCAGTCAATATCATCACTGACCCACAAGGAAAGAATTGTTTGTAACAATAAGGGATAAACAAAAAAGAATCAATGCCAGTTTTGGGGTTTGAGGTCAATGATTCAATCATTGAAGATTAGAAGCTAGTACTGTCCCAGTAAATCATAATTGTAAAACGTTAAGAAAATTTTTCATAGAGAAAAAATTATGTATCAGAGGATATGTTTAAAAAATAAATGCTGCTTCACAATCTATAGCTGCCAATTTTTTAAAATCCTTTCTCAGGCCACGTGTGAGATTAGGAAACCAGGCAACATGAAGGTCCAGAATCCAAGGAGAAAAAAAAAATGCAGTAACAGAAGAGTTGCATAGGGATGTGTCTCAGAGTCATTCCATAAACATCCATTACTTCGTACTATCAACTACTTATGAATGCAAATCTGGCCTTAGTTGGAGAATATTTGTTATTTAGTCCTACTAAATTATTTCTTTGACTTAAACATCACTCTATATCTAAAAAAGCTATTACCCATATATTTGAACTTGAAATATTTCAAGATTGTTGATATGAACAATGTTCTCACTTTCTGACCTGTTAGTTAACCTACAATTAAAGCATATTTTTCCTTTTGATTAAAATAGTTAATAACTACAAGTAGAGTCAAGGTACACAAGAAAAATACGAGACAGAAAAACCCCACCTGAAATTCTTCCTGCCTTAATATTGCTAGAACATTCATCTCATGTTTCATCAAAACATGTGATGTTGCTAAAGTTGAAGAGATTCCTCATAAATCAAAAAAGAGAGAAGAGCATCTCCATGTTTTGGCACCCCACGCCTTTTGGTGAGTCCTATATCTTTAGCTTTTGGGCAACAAGTACCTAATATGGCCTTAGAAAAAGGAAAATTGTATGGCATGCTGTGTGTCATTTATCCATTGATGACCAAATCATTTGTTGCTTTCATTTTTTTCAAGTGCTACAAGTGAATCTTAAGGGAACTAAAAAGACCCACAAGTTCCTGTTTTTCAAATTTGGTGGGTTTTTAGGTTAGGGTTTTTTTCTACTATACTTTGGGATCATTTTCAAGGGGTGGGTCCTACCTTGTACTGCTTTAATCTGGCCTACAACAAGCTTCTCACATGGTTTTATAGCAACTAGGTTTAGGGATACCTCCCCTTTGGAAATGGGGTGGATCCATGTTATTCCCTGTTACTCCCCTCAATTTTTATAAAGAAGAAAGCACTCTGAATCTCCTCCACATGCCCTACTGTTCCCATGTGCCCTGCTTCTTCTTCTCTCTCTTTCTCGTGTGTCAAATGGTTTCTTCCATTCTTCAACCACGGATTTTTTTAATGTTAATGTTAATGCTAATTTAGTACTTGTGACATAGGCACATTATCAACTCATGAAATCAATCCAATCCAATCTGGGAATCAACCATCCAAAGTTTCTTATGTTGGAAGTTTTCTACCTCAAAATTATTGTGAGTTTCTCCCTTGTTCTTCTTGCCCTACACAGCCTTTGCTTAAATTTGTCTTTTTATTCATCTATTTATTTCGAAAAAAAAAAAAATCCTAGCTTTGAATTTAAACAGCTATCTGTTAGGTTAGCAATATCTTGAGGATCTAACTAGGGCCATTTTGTTCGAATAATTTTGTCTTTTTCAGACATCTGAGTGTACTATGTGTCAACACTTCTGAATATCCTTTGTCGAAAAGGACAAAAGGCACTCGGCATCTGAGAATGCACTTACTACCTTACTGGAATATCGAACACCGAATTCGACTTTGAACGCACACCGCATTTGGAATAGTAAAGGGGTAGTCATATCATATGTATACTGTTTTTTTTTATATATATATATATATATTAATCTCTCGTTTATTCGATAATCATGTTGAGTTCCAACTAATTCAGAATCTCAAATTCCATTAAAAAAGAAACTCTTCAGTACTTGTTTTTCTATTCACAAAAATCAAATTCAAAATCTTATTTAACGAAAATCAAATTTATTCTACTCAAACCAATATGTTATTGATATATGTATACTGTTGTTGAAATTGAAATATGTACCATCAAGACGAATGGATAAATGGGCCCCTGAGAAAAATAGAGAAACGAATCCACAAATTGCGGACTTTATTGGGCCAATATGTTCCTAGTAAGTAGTAACAAACTCATTGGATGTATTGGCCCAAATCTGGAGTAGAAGTTGGGTCTATTGTCAAACATGTGGCCTATATGTTGTTTGCTTGGGTTTCCAATTAGACTCACTTTGAACTCTTTACCTTATTTTATTTGGCATCCTTTGTTCTGGCTGAGGTTATGGGCCTTATGGCCAACTTTGTTAAGAATATTAATTTCATTTGTAATTTTATGAATTTATAATTTTTTAAATAATTAATTATAATATTTAAGAATATTTATTTAAAAATTAATTTTAATTAATTAAATAATAAATATTAATTATTATATCAGTATTAGTTGTTTTTAATAATTAAATTAAAATAAAATTTTAATAATCTTAATTATCTTAACAAAATTAATAGTGACCATAATTATGTGCTTTAGTTCTAACGCCATCCCCCAAACAATGAAAGGAAAAGGAAAATCCATTTTTTTAAGCTCACCAATGTAGAAGTTGTCAAAGCACTTTATAATGAAATTTTATTGAAAGGATTGTTAGTTGAAAACGTGCAATGAAATTAGATTAGAAGCAAAGGGAAGATAATGTTTGGTTTAGATACTGTAATTGATTGATTAAAATTTTTTTTTTCTTTTTTATTCTCTTCAAATTAAACATACTATTCTACTATTAATAATAAAAATTATGATTCATAAAGTAGAGGTCGGGATATCACATCATTTTGATTTTTTTAAAAAGAAAAACTTAAGTCTTAAAACAAGATTAATTAATTTGATTTTAGCTGGATTGCACTTTTAACTCCAACAGCATGATTAATAGTGCATTTTTAAAAGAAGAATATATTTGTGCTTCCTGATTAAATATATATATTTTTAGCTTTCCATATTTGATGAGATGAGTATGGAAGGTTCTGCCTCCAAATGCCGAAGCAGCCATCATTGAAGGAGGCCATGGAGTTGGAGGGGCTGAAAGCAAAAGCGGGAAGTTCGAAGAACGGTCCACGTGGCCTCACGTGGATATAACAAAGCAACCCTTACATTTATACGGATGTAATGATTAGCTCAACAACCCACGTGTATTCTTCGTACGTAACTTTTTATGTCTGAAATTGTACCAAATGGTAGTAAATAAGCGGGGTTTGTTCTTACATTTAGGGGATGTACTCACATTTGATGATCCATGTTTTTGTGTAATTTATTATAATTTAAATTGTATAAAATATATTTGTTTATGTATTTTTTTAACATATTATAAT